ATTCCAACCTTAAATAAGTCTTGGTTATTTAAAATAATTGTTTATATATAGTATATTTACAAATTTTATTCTCTGGGCTACCACTGATTTTAACTTTGTCACTAGGCCAACAAGGTACATCTTTAGGAGTCGTCGTTGGTCCGAGGTTGTAAGTCAAGCCAAGTTGTAATTCAACTTTGTCTCATAGCTCATGACTGGCATGCCAACTTTGGTACACCTAGCTCAATCGTTCTTGAGGCGTTTTACCTTAGCCGTGTAGCTTTAAGAAATACTATTAAACATATCTAAATAGACTCTGGGTTGAAGTTTTGCAGTCGTTCCTTATAGAATATAGAAAGGATTTTTCAAAATTTAACCCCTAAAAGGGTGAAACGATGGTTAGAAGTATGATGTATCGATCAAGACACAGCTCAAATCGCTGAGCTTGCTTGACGTTATGGTTCCAATATTTTTTTAATCAATTTATTTTAGTGTTTAGAAACAAATATTAAAAATGGAACTCGAAACCACTGTTGCTTAAAATTATTCAAGGTTAAAGTTCATAAAAAACGGTTTTTTGCGAATATTGCACTTTCTATGACTCAGAGGTCAATTGAAGGTCATTACAAAAATGAAAGATAATGGAGTTCCCCAAAAAAATGATCTGTTCAATTGTTTACGTACAACGAATAGTTATATAGGTAGAAAACGCAGAAAATCCGTTTTTTAGTTTTCTCTGCTTCCTGTATTGAAAACTATCACAGTGTAAAGATACGAAAAAAAGTCAAGGCAATATTTTATTGAAGCACTTAATTTTAAATTAAAATATCAGCGATAGTACCTTTTTATCTAGAACGGGTAATGAGTTACAGCAACTTGAGCGCAAGCTCTAAAATTGGTGTGTCAAGAAACGCGTTTCAATTATTTATATATATTTATAAACTTTAACCTTGAATAACTTTTTAAGCGATGGTGATTTTGAGATCCATTTTTAATATTTTTTTCTACACTAAAATAAATCGATAAAAAAATGGGTTACTAATTCTTTTACAACATGAAAACTTAATTTTACTGGCTATATGTGCTGCCTTAACATAACGTTTTATGGATTACCTACTAAGTACAAACAACGTGGTAAACGCCATCTATATATTCCGCCATGCTGGTAGTTAAGTTAGATCCAGTGACCTCTACCCCTACCTACGGATCATTAGTATATAGGCTCCCACTTTTCTTATTCCATTAACATTCTACTCTATAGGTCTAACCTATGTCAGTTTGTTCATTGGTGCCATCATTTGCGTACAATAGTCAAAATAATCAAGTGTAACAAAGGTTCCTGTAAACCGAACCAAATAGGAGGAATATGACATCGTCACGATACAGTAAAGCACAAACGTGGATGAATCGATATTAAAAGAAAAAAGAAGGTCGACTTACTGTAACTGGCACAGTCTTCGCAAACGCGTTGGGTACATTCAGCGCATGTCCTGCTAAAATCGTCAGGTTTGAAGGCTTTCAGGCAAACTCGACATGCTCCTGCTCTGCTCGGTGGTTTACCGGGCTCTGGTTTTGGTGGAGCAGCCGGCTGGGCAGGAGGTGGAGGTTTCTCTTCCTGAACAGGAGTTGGATCTACGTCCGGGATTAGGGAAGGGCGTGGTCCCATTTTTGTAACTGAAACAAAATATGTCTATGCAATTACTAGAAACTACGAAAATTACATTAAAGAGTAAATCAGCCGTTCAATTCAATACTAACTGAAGCGCAAACAAAGAAATGGCACCCCACAATTCTTTAGCAATATTTTTTTGATGTTTTCATGGTGCTTATCAATACCTATTCTTCTAATTTCAGTATCGGCGTTCGTCAACTCATATACAGTAAAAGTTCCTTATTTACGGTTTCCTTATTCGCGTTTGCATTATTCGCGGGTGAAAAAATTGCAACCCAGTTCCTGTTTTGACAGCTAAAAATTTCATTATTCGCGGATGCAATCGGTAAACAGAAAAGGATTCGGTGTCATTTATTAAGGGGATTGACCGCAATAGACCGCTCGTGTCTAGTGCGAATTTTTTCGAAACCATGGTTTCTATTCTAAATATTGCGATTTAACAGTGCGAGATAAATATGTGATTTTTTGTATGATAACAGACAAAGGTGCACACTAACTCGGTACGTTTTTGGTTTTCAATAATATGATCATTAAAAGCTATTTACAAGTGCTTAAAGCTGATTGTTGTTGTAGAACGCGTATTTTCAATAGAAATTAAAAAATTAAAAAATGACCTTCGACAGGCTTTAGAACAAAGCTTTATCTATCTTACTGCAAAATTTCAAACCTTAAAACAAAAAACATTAAACTCATGATATCTAGAACCGATAAGCATTTTTACTCTACGGCACGTGTACTACTGAATCCCCTTAATGTATCGTCATCTTTTGAGTATGTACAGTTGGTACGTGCCGAGGCAGCTTTTATAAAAGATGTAACCGAGTAAACAGAAAAGGATTCGGTGTTATTTTTCAACGTATTGGCATGTTTTAAGTACTGTTGGCTCATGCCGGGGCGACTTTTATAAAAGATGTAAAAGGTGGACTAATTTCAAAATTCAAAACAACAAAAAATCATTAAAATTTTTTAAACTCTTGCATAAAGGTGATTATAACGATTAATATTAATTGCGAATTTATCAATGCATTGATTTTATTTAGATACATATTGGTTTTATTTTGGAACCTTAGAACGTATCCTCTTTGCTTCCATACTAATTACCATTTTATATCCACGGTCTCTGTATTCGAGGCGCATTTATGGAACGTATACCCCGCAAATAAAGAGCTGTTACTGTACAATAAATACATTTTCTTCTACTTTTCGAAAATTATTGTTTTTCCTCTTATTGAATGAGCACAATACAAACGGTTCTCAAACTCGAAAAATATTCTGCGTTGGCAAATATTGGAAAGCGTTTGAAGTCGGTCAATTATTTCATCAGGAAGACGGCACGCGCTAGGCTATTCAAGAACGTACTTCAAATTAGCCAGTGTAGCTATGTATATTGGTAGCGTGATTTATTGAAGATATCGCGTCAACATTATAAAATCTATGAGAGTGACGCTAAATTCAAAGATTGACCAAGAAGCAAATTTAAAAGCTCACATCATCATCATTAACATTACAGAAATACAATTTAAAGAAACATTTTATGGATTTTAATAGTTATAAAGCTTACCGTAATTTATAAAAGACAAATTAATTGATAAATGTGGAATAGAAAAAATATGTTAGATAGAAGAACATTTAGAAGATGGTCAACATAAAATAACAAAAGAATTTCTTTGTTTATAGAGATAACTTTTATATAAACCACTTTCTATAAACTTAAGCAGTTTGATAAAACCACGTTGTGACTCCCGGATTCCTCTGACGAGCCAGCCAATGCGCTGAGCTGGCTACAGAGTAGTAGTGCATGGTGGACGAATAAGACCTAGCACCAACAAAAGACTTTGGGAGACTGGGCATCGGAGATAAATATGGTCTTGGACATAACTCTATGAACTCGAGGCGCCACGGACATACAATCACCAATTGGAGTTTCTCGGATGATCCGTTTCTTTCAGACCACATATGAAATGCTGACTCAAATGGAAAAGAAAATCCAAAAATACAAACCAAGGAAAACTTATAGCGGACCTCTAGGAGTCCCTAAGGATTCTCCAAGGCAGTGGATGGTCTACCCTGGAGATGGCAGCTAAAACCTTAAGAAACAACTGTCCACTTACGATACTTAGACAGAAACCTCTTAAAGAAAGTCTTAGAGGAAAACCCATACAGAGTGTGGCGTTTATAATCAATAAAATTTTAACCACAGGTTCGTAGTGACATTTGGAACATAAAATGTTGTAACAGTTTTCACCGTGGAAATAAAAAAAAAAAAATAATAAAAAAAGTTTAACAGTTATGACGCCATCCCTGGTGAGTTCCAAATAGTTGCAGTGTGCAGATGATAGTAATTGGTATCGATTTATGGTCAGTAGTCGGAATTACATGTACGTTATCCGTTTGGTGTTACTTAGATATAAGTTATTCTTTAGCGTATTTAAAGTGAGGTTAAACTGTTATTTATGTTTTGTTAAAAGTGGAGAGGATGTTATAAATAGGCGGCATCAAAATAAAATTTGTGCACCGATTTGTAAAATCAAAATAATTTTTGATTTCAGGCTTTCACGACCGGTGTTGTTCTCTGATAAATATCTACTTTCCGGGCTGTTCTGCCGTGGTCTGTCAAAATCATTGTTTATTAACAAATGTACATTGAAATTATTCATTTATAAACTGCTTGAGTAAAGCGGATTGGAAATTAATAATTTCATTCATTTAAACGTATTAAAATACATTTAAATAGCTCGTATCCCACTTTCCATTAGATTTATTTATTTAATTAAGTTTAAAGTTGATGATTCAATTTCGACCGTTACGATAAATTTTTAATACAGAATTTTAATTAACATACTCATTAATGTAATGTTGTTATTTATTTAAGAAATTGTGAAACTTCTAAAAGTAATGAAAATTAATGAACGTATGCATTTACCTGCATGGGGTTAACAGATATGGTGTTAACTTACGGTGCTGTCGAAGAAAATGCATTCCCGATGTTTTAATAAGGAGACAAAACGTTAGCTACGAAGAATTAAGTACAAATTTTTACAAAAGCATAACTAATTTTATGAATTAACCAATACAAATAATGAAAATAAGTTAATAAGACTTAATATGTACGTAGGCAACTTAACATATTAAGTGGCAATGCTGACCAGGTTTCTAGACGATATAAGCTGGAACATTCTAGAAAGCGGCTAGCCTCTATAAATAGTTGCCGCGAGATTGAGTTAGTACGAGAACGAGTTTGAGGCGATACAAAGTGAAGAAGAAAGAGCGAAGAAGTGACAAAGTGTTCATATAGTGATAAATTTATAACAAATTAATAGTAAATGTGCTAATTACACAGAAACTAGTTAAATAAAAGTAGTAAAAGTGCGAAAAAGTGGTTAAATACATGACAATATATTAATAATTGATTTAATGAAGATTATCTAATTTAAACATTGGAAAAGACGAACTTCCATTTTATAAAGTAAAAAAATCAGGCTATGTAAGGGGCTTAAATTTTTTCCCATTTCGAAATAATGTGTAATTAATTAATTTTGATCAATTAAATAAATTCGATCCGACAGGACTTGAACCTTGACGAAATTCTTATACAAACTAGAGTGGGTGGATCGGCTTGCGAGGTTCGATGATTTAGAGAGCCGGGCCATAGGTTCAACCATAATGGGGGGATTCTTAAAGAGAAACTAGACTAAGACAAGTCCCTGAAAGAAGGTAGCAGTTCTTTCGGTACTCAGGGTGCCAGAGATCATGAGGATCGGTATGGCACTCTTTGATGTACAAAACTGCGACGTGGAAGGCAACGGGAAACCACCACATTGTGATTCCGAGTAAAACGAACTACACAAATTAAATGATGGTGTCATCTGAATGAGGAAAACAGGGAAACAGGAAAATTTGAAAATTGAGATGAGTAGATTAGAATTACATAAAGTAGGTATTAGTGAAGTTCGTTGGCCCGAAGCTACAGACTTCTGGAGTGAGACGTTAGAATAATACATACAGGATCGGTAGAAAGCAATTCGGGGGTAGGAATTGTGATGCCTAGGAAAGCAGGCAGAGTGTAGAAAGTTATTTACATTAAAGCGATAGGATAGTTATTGTTAAATTAAACTCGAAGCTAGTAAAAAGGGAATTGCACAGGTCTACATGCATACATCATCTTACAATGATAAAGACGTAGAAGCGGTTAATTATCATCTTCAAAATATAGCAGTATTAGCATCTAGCAAGGAGTTAGAGATAGCTTTAAATAAAATGGAAGCGGTACTGACAAAACGGTACTGTATGAAAATAAATAAAAGTAAAACAAAAATATTGGTACGCAAGGGAAGAAAAAGTAGGGAAACAGCTAGTATATAGATAGGACGCGAAACATTAGAAAAAGTGATTTATTTTCGGTATCCAGGAAGTTATAGTCATGACGGAAGGAGTAGTAGGGATATAAAGCAGAGGATAGCTCAGGGTCGAGTCGCCTTCAATACAAAGAACTTCTATGCTTCCGAACGGTTAATTTAGAAATTCGAAAAAGATTGTTAAAGGTGCGTGTTTGGAACGCGGCTCTGTATCGGTGCGAAATATGGACGGTGTAAGGGGTAGAAAAGAAAAGGTTATAAGAGTTGGAAATATGGTATTACCAGCGAATGATGAGGATACCCTGGATGAAGAAAGTTAGAAATGAAGAGGTTTTAGAAAGAATAGGAGAACAGAGGACTCTATGGAAGTCAAAAAGAAATAGGCGAGAGAGATTCTTCTCAGGCATGAAGATCTAGTCAGAGACATATTAGAATCAGAAACGGGAGTTAGGATGGGTAGAGGTAGACCTAGATTGGATTACTGTCCGCAAGTAGTTAAAGATGTGGGTTGTTCTAGTTTTAGCGAACATTAGCTCAGGATAGAAAAGAGTAGAGGTGCTTGTCCAACCAGTCTTAGGACTGACGAAGTTATGATGATGAGGATGAATTATATAAATTAAACACACAAAATGTTTTTAA